CCCCCCCGCCTTCACACACACCCCGCCTTCACACACCCCGCCTTCACACCCCCCCTCCTGGGCAGTCCTGCCGCATCTTCAGTCCTTGCTGTGCGTCCAGTGTTCACGCCCAGCCAGGGTGCTCGTCTCTGACGTGGGCTGGAAGTACTCTGTCGCCGTCTCTGCGGGCGGGAAAACTCAGAGCCTCCCTGTTGTTCTCCAGTAGATTTCCGCCGACCTTCAGGGTGAGCAGTGGAGGCTGGGAGCAGGGCTTCTCCAGCCTCCGGCCCCCGCTGCTCTCCGCTGTTCTCAGTCGCTCCTGGTTAGCGGGAGGGGTTCAGGAACTTCATCTGTCGTCGTCTGTTCATCCGCGCATCAGTCTTTCCATTCATTTGTCCACCAGCCTGTCCATCAGTCCATCTGTCCATCCGTCCACCAACCTGTCCATCCACCAACCAGTCCATCCGTCCACCCACCCACCCACCCAGCCACCCAGCCACTCAGCCACTCAGCCACTCACCCATTCGTTCAGCCACCCTTCTGTACATCCATCCATCTTTCTGTCCGTGGCGTTAGTGTCTTACTCTTTCTGTGTCCTACACGTCTGCAAATGTGTCCTCTGTTAAACATTATCTTGGACTTCTGGATTCTATTTTCTAATTAGGACGATTTAGAATTAGCACCCTCTAGCTGGTAAAAATTCTCACCATTCCCATGAATATTTTGTTAATTTTCACTGCTTTTCTGCTGCCTTCAGTGCTTTTGTAAGGAAACGATGTTTCGGGATGGATGTGACAGCTGGTGCATATTCTGAGCCCCATGTAGTTGAAAATCTTGGTGTTTTGTTTGCTTTTGAACAAGAGTGTGATCTATTATGCAATTATATTATTATACCACTTTCCCCGTTGCAACTCTTGCCCGTCGGATTTAATATTTTAGCAAAAACTAACCATTATCTTTTCCAGGGTGGGAGTAGGTTTCTGCGTGCTTCCACGTTCCTGGATGTCAGTTTAGAAAATGTGTATTTCTGTCTGACGCCTGTTCACGTGCTCATCTCTTCCCGTGGCGTTTTGCTGCCAGGCCTCCTGCAGGTGGAAATCTACCTTCAGCTGCAGAACCTTCTCTTGTGTTTTACTTTCGACGACGTTTCTTCCGTTGTGTGTGTTTCGTGTCCCTGTTGGGCCGACTGTCCCTCGCAGCGTCCCCGTCTACCCCCTCCCTGCTGCTCACATGCCGGGGCAGAGCTCCGGATCTGTCATTTCTCGTCGTGCTAGTTCTTTTTCAAGGTCTGATCCTGTGTCTTAATGGCTTCTAAGCTAACTTCCGTTCTGCACCGATGGCTCGTTCTTCAAGGAATCGTTGAAGGTCCACCACATGTTGGGCATTCTCGGTGCTGTGAACAAAACAGGAAAGGAACCGTGGTGTTAGCCTAGTGGAGACAGGGGATGACAGAGCCTCTCCCGCGTGTGGGGGGGGGGAGGGGAAGCCCGCAGAGAAAAGCCAGCGCGGGCGGAGGGAGAGTGCGCGGGTCTGGGGTTGCAACTGGGGCGGCCAGGGGAGGCTGTCTGAGAAGTTGCTTTCTGAAGGCCTCAGGGGCGATGAGGGGAAACGCATCCCTGCTCGCAGCCCCCCCCCCCGCCCCTGGCCCCTGCCTCCCTTCTACGCCGCTCAGGGCATTCGTGACTTCACTTAGGGCCCACCTGGTGACCCAGGTTAAAAACCTCCCGTCAAGGGGCGCCGCGGTGGCTCCGTCGGTTGAGTCTCTGGACTTCAGCTCAAGTCATGATCTCACGGTTCCAGGGCTCGAGTCCCGCGTCAGACCCTGTGCTGACGCAGTGAGGGGCCTGGTTGGGATTCTGTCACGCTCTCTCTCCTCCCTGTGCCCCTCCCCCGCTCACATGCACTCGCTCGCTCTCACACACGCCACCACCCCCTCACCTCAAGGGCCTTAATCACACCCGCGAAGTCCCTTTACCCGCGGGTCTTGTGTTCTCAGGTTCTGGGTATGGGGCGGGCTGTCGGGGGGCTGCTCTTCCGCCCACCACAGGGGTATCTAAGGGGTGCTGACCGGTGGGGAGGTGGCCCTCCCTCCTGAGGACCTCACCCCTCAGTCCCACGTCCCAAGGGCCCCGCCCCCGCCCTTCAGACGACGGCTCCCGGCTGGATGCCCAGCACCCCCAAGTCGGTTCCTGGCCCCGACGCCTTCTCGGGTGGTTCGAGTGCCTCCCCTCGGTCACCCGCCGCCTCTGCCCTTTGCGGACGACTGCTGCAGCGGGCCGCGCTTCTCCGAGACCCTCCAGGGGCACGTTCTGTCCCCACAGCCTCCTCGGCTACCTGACCAAGTACGACTGCTCCAGCGCAGACCTCAACCCCGTGGGCGGGATCAGCAAGACGGACCTCAGGGCCTTCGTCCAGTTCTGCCTCGAGCGCTTCCAGCTTCCCGCCCTGCAGGGGTGAGTGCAGCCCTCGGACCGCGAGACCACGGCCCCAGAGCCACCAGGGCCACGCCCAGCATAGCCGCCTCCACACCTCCCCGCTGCCTGATGAAAACAGCCCTGCCCTCAGCGGGCACTTGGAGTCCCGGGACAGGCCGGCCCTTTTGTGCCGGGGCCCCCCCAGCGCCCCCCCCCGGGATATGGGGCGATGTCTGGAGACCTTCCCGGTGATCCGGGCAGAGTGTGCTCCTGGCGTCCAGCGGGTGGGTGCTCCCAGGCACCCTGCAGCGCCCAGCACGGCCCCACCAGACAGCATGGCCTGTCCCCACGTGCGTGGTGCCCCGTGGAGGAGCCCTGTGTGTGGCTCCCATCGGCTCCTGCCCCCAGGCGTGAAGCCCCCCAGCAGCCCCTCCCCTCCCCCTGGGAAAGCCCAGCACTGCGGCCACGGCCACGGCTGGGCTGTGCTGATAGGAGCAGCCCACGGGGGCGTGGCCGGGCAGCGCGAGGCCCCTCCCAGGGCACATGGGTACCAAGGCGGCCGTTGGGACTGACGCCCATGTGTCTTGGCCACAGCATCCTGGCAGCACCGGCCACCGCGGAGCTGGAACCCTTGGCCGATGGACAGGTGTCCCAGACTGATGAGGTAGTGGCGGCTTTGCCTGGGGCTTCCTCCCCGTGTCCCTGCGTCCCCGTGTCCCTGCGTCCCCGTGTCCCCGTGTCCCTGTGTCCCTGCGTCCCCGTGTCCCTGCGTCCTCGTGTCCCTGAGTCCCCGTGTCCCCGCAGCCCCACGTCCCCATCTCCCTGCGTTCCCGTCTCCCTGCGTCCCCATGTCCCTGCGTCCCCGTGTCCCTGCTGGCACCCTCGCTGCTCCCTTTCTGCTGCGGGGACCACACTCCACCTCCTGGCTCCTGTCCCACTGCTGACCTTTGACATTTCAATTCGGCCTCCTTGAGGGAGGAGGGGTGAGTGGGGCAGGTCCCTTGCAGGTGGCAGGGGCGCGACCTCAAGGGAATCGCTCCAGGCCCCTCCGTCCTGTGCTGGCCCGCGAGCGGTCAGAGCCGGTCGGGGCTGCAGGCCGTGCCGCACAGCTTCCGTGGACGAGGCGAGTGGCCGTGCGCCGCGGCAGAGCCGGTGACGGCTGACCTTCCCGCGGCCGCTCCTTCCGTCTCACAGATTCATCTGTGCCTCTTCCTCCCGGAGTTTACGGCCTTAGCTCTCGTATTAAGTCTGTGAGCCGGTGGACAGAGCCGCACGTGGTGCAAGGAAGGGTCTGGCCTCATCCTCGCGCGGGTGGGGGGACAGATGTCCCCGCACTGTGTGTCTCTCCCGTCCGTGGTCTCGTCACCTGGTGGAAGCCAGCGCACTGTAAGCACGTAGACGTGCGTCCAGGCTCTGTGACGTGTGTGTCCATCCGTTTTGTCATAAGCCGTGAGGTCGGGAAGCATGACCTTGTGATTTGGGTTCTTCCGGGCCCTTCGATGCCTGTGTGAGTTTTGAGGTCGGCGTATCGTTCCTGCCACATGCACAAACGCCGGCTCCAGTTTCGTGGCAGCAGCGTGGAGTCTGTAGCTGTGCCCGGCGGCTGTTGCCACCATAGTGACGTGCGTGGTGACGCATGTGTCCTCCCATTTGCTCCAGCGTCTCCGTGTCCTTCAGCGATGGTTTGTGGCTTTCAGAGCAAGTGTGCACTTGGCTTGTTCACGTTCTTTCTAAGTATTTTATTTTCTTCGTTCTTTCGTAGATGGAATTGTTTTCCTAATTTGCTCTCCAGGTGGCTCATTGCCAGTGTACAGGAATGACTTTCCGCACTTTCTGTCTCGGTCTCACTGCCCCCCCACACCCCCCCAGTCCAAACCATCTCCTCCTCCCACGTGTTAGAAGGCGGAAAGTCAGGTCACTGATTTGAGGTCTTTTTCTCAATGTTTATTTATTTTGAGACACGGGAGAGGAGCAGAGAGAGAGGTGGAGAGAGAGAATCCCAAGCAGGCCCCACACTGTCAGCATGGAGCCCAACGTGGGGGTCGACCCCACAAACTGTGAGATCATGACCTGAGCTGAGATCAAGAGTCAGACGCTTGGGGCGCCTGGGGGCTCAGTCGGTTGAACGTCCGACTTCGGCTCAGGTCATGATCTCACTGTTCGTGGGTTCGAGCCCCGTGTCGGGCTCTGTGGTGACAGCTCAGATCCTGGAGCCTGCCTCAGATTCTGTGTCTCCCTCTCTCTGACCCTCCCCCACTCATGCTCTGTCTCTCTCTCTCTCTCTCAAAAATAAATACAACATTAAAATTTTTTTTTAAAGAGACGCTTAACCAACTGAGCCCCCAGGTGCCCCGAGGTCGTTTTCTTTTGGAACGCAGGTGTTTACAACTATAAACTCCTCCCTCGCCACCGCACCCTCTGCGTCCTGTGAGTCATTCATTGTCACACCGTTTTGTTCCAGATATTCCCTGATTTTCCTCATGATTTCTTTTCTCACCCCGTTTACTCGAGAGCGTGGGGTTTAATTCCCGCATATTTGTGAGTTTCTGAAGTTTCTGTCACTGAATTTGTGATTCTCTCCCTTCCGGTTGGAAAGCACACTGGGGTTGTGGGGGGAGGGGGAGTGCGAGTCAGTGTTCTAGATTCACGGAGGCCAGTTTTGTGGCCTGGGATTTGGTCTGTCCCGGAGAATGTTCTGTGCGCCTTGAGGAGAACGTGTGCCCTACAGCTGTTGGGCGGAATGTTCCAGAGATGTCTTTTGGGTCTAGTTGGTTTAAGTGTTTTTAAGTTTTCGTTTCCTTGTTGGGTTTCTTTGTATAGTTTTATACAATATGGAAAGCGAGGTATTAAAGTTTCCAACTATTACTGTTGAATTTAAGGAATTAAAATCTCATGCTGGCAAAAACTCATCTCCCACTAAAGAGTGGTGAAAGATGTCCATGGCAAAGTCATGCTAAGGCCCTGGGGCTTGTGGTGAACTGGGGGGACATGGCCATTTATGTGAGTCCCCAGGACAGACCAATGGGAAGTAACCATGATGGCCCCACCGTTGATCCCGTGACCCGATGGTGGCAGTGTCCCCTGGGGGGGTCAGGACAGGCTTCCCCAAGGAAGTGACATTGGAGCTGAGGCCCGAGGGGAGGAGAGAAGGCCAGGGGAGCAGGAGGCAGGGCCTGGGCCTGGGTCCTTCGGGCCGGTTGAAGCGGAGGGCAGTCCGTGATGCCACAGGATGCCAGCGTCAATGAGGGGTGAGAGGCGATGGCAGCGGATGCTGAGAAACGGTGCTTGTGTGAGCAGGCCGTCGCTCTGCGGGGCGGCCCGTGGCGGCGCGGCCCAGGTGTCTGTGCTGAGGCCCCGGCCGGTGCCGGCCGCTCGGCGGGTGTCTGCCTCACGTGGGTCCTGGCATCAGCCCCCCCGCCCCCCGGGCCGCCGGAACCGATCAGGGCGGGCGGTGGCTTACAGGGGAGCCGCGCTGCCCCAGCCTCCCGGGGGACGGGCCGCCTCGCCGTGCAGCGTCCGGGCCTTCCCGGGCTGCGGTCGCGCCCCCCCCCCAGCCTCCCCTTCACGCGGCTCCGACCCCACGTCCCGGGCCGGCTCACCTCGGCACCCTTCGCGTAGTTACGCCTCCACGGACCTTGGTTTTCCCGGCGAGCACACAGAACGCAGCTTCCGGGGCTTGAACGGGGGCAGCCCGCCAGCCGGGGCCGCGCTTCCGGCCCTCCGGGCCTCAGCACCCGCCTGCGCCTCCCTTCCCGACGCCCGCGCCGTGTTGCTGGCGGGGCGGGGCGCCCGTGGCCTTTGGGGACGCGCCCCTGCCCCGGGTGTCCGGTGCCGCGGGCACAGCGGGAAATCCTTCCTCCGCAGGAGGACATGGGCATGACCTACGCCGACCTGTCCGTCTACGGCCGACTCCGCAAGATTGCCAAGACCGGGCCCTACGGCATGTTCTGCAAACTCGTCAGCCTGTGGCAGGACGTGTGTTCCCCGCGGCAGGTGCACCGCCCGCGCCGTCCATGGGGGGGGGGGCGCGGCGGGACGGACACCGCGCGTGGGAGGGGCGCGAGGGAGTCCGTGGGTGTGGCCTCCGGGGGGAGGGGCGGGAGTCAGTCCGTGGGTGTGGCCCG